AAAAAAGATTAATCAGCACAAACATGCCAAAAGTATAAACAAAGAAAAAGTATTTTTGAAACATAATTAACAGCTATTTGGGCATTGCTTTAAATGACTTTTTTGATGAAATGTAAGCAAACATGAGGTTAGGCCTAATTACCAGTTCTTTGTAGATAAATCCCAAAGTCATTACCAAGCTTTGTTGGATTTAATCTACATAACTTTTCAAGGAACTCTTTAAGGAAATGGCTGAAAATGCTGCATGTTCCCCACCCACTTAGGGGGCCAGCAACACAAGAAATCACAGGACACATTCAGCACATATGCACTGGAGGATGTCCTATAGACAGATAAAACAGGGACGTTCAGAGGCTGTTTGCCTGGACAGCAAACATGTTCTTGACTGTATCTCAAACACAAAAATAGAGATCCATCAACAAACAGCAAGGATTCTACATGTTTTTTTTCAAAGAGTCTGAAATTTGCCCCACCATCCTTTTTTTCAACACAATCCCTGCTATATTAATGCTCATCTAGATCTTAAAATTTCTGGTGCTGCAGATCCAACTTTTTTTTTTTTTTTTTTTTAAGTTTTATCAGTTCTCTGGAGCTATATAAATAATTGACAGTAATTAATTATTATTATAGCTACCCAAAAAATGAAGACAGTGATCTATATCCAAAAGTGGAAAATTACTATAAAGGCCATATGTCAGATAAAAAATAATCTCCCCTTCTGACTTTCTTTTTTTCCCCTGTGCTTTTAATTTTTTTATAAATGTATTAAATAGTACATTATGCACCAAAAAATTTTACCACCCATTTTCACTGATATCCTGTTACGCAAGCAGCACCTGTCAATACTCTCCTGTTGAGAGCCTCTGCTTGTAACGCCATGTATGGTTCAGAGGCTGGGATGATACTTCTTTTTGAATCTATAAGGAGTGTCAAGTCCAAAGTCACCACAGCTTTTCATTTTCATCCCCAGAACTCCCAACATGGACATTTTTAAAATAGAAAATCAAATGCAATTATCTCACAGCAAGAGGTTTCTTCTTTGCTAGAAAGAATGCAAGGAGATGCTATCCCACCAGGATGTTACCAAAGGGAGACAGAGACACAAACTACCTAAAGACACATTTCAACTAGTATGGGCATCTAAGTCATACTTCATTTACCATATTTGCATGCTAGTGCCTTTAGAATCACGTGGGATTCAGCTAAGTGGAATTCACAGGAAAATTTCAGATAGTCTTTGTACTTTTCACAGTAGCACAGTTCCAGAGTTTTTTCACAAAGGGTTTTATCTATAATTTTCTCCCAAAGAAACATGATGCAAATAGTACTATACTAGTGCAAGAACTGAGATTTTGCTAGAAAATCCCAACACTGCATACTACCAGAACAAAACTGTGTATGTAGTCCAGGTTTCAGAAGCCTCTTGCCTCTCAGGACACTTTCTGCTCAGCCAAATCTACTAAGCACAGGTATGACTAGTAGAGGTGTGTACAAGGCAAGTGGAGGTTGAGGTAGACCAACAGAATCACAGAATAACAGAATTGTAGTGGTTGGAAGAGACCACTGGAGATCATCAAGTTCAGTCCCTTGCTAAAGCAGTTTCCCTACAGTAGGTTGCACAAGAAAGTGTTTAAGTTGGGTCTTGAATATCTCCCAAGAAGGAGACTCTACAGCTTTTCTGGCAGCCTGTTATAGGGATAACTGTACAATCTTCTTTTCATATTTTAGACAATAACCAATTGTGTTCTCCGTGCTAAGGAAAAGTACAAGCATCTTCTGAGCTATTTACCTTCTGTGTATTTTGTGAAGTGTTTGTGCTCCCTCAGTGCTAAAGATTAACAAAAGATAGAGACATAGTTATTTTAATTGCTATGTATGCAGCAGAAAGCCCTTTGATTTCTCAGTGGTTTTTTTTAAGCAAAATTTCTGCGTTGGTGTAAGGCAGATTTTCCAGGCTTCAACAAACCAGATGGCCATCCAAAAATGCGATATGAAATTTTTATAGGAAGCTAAGAGCTAACCCATCTCAGGGAGAGATTTTTCAGAGATTCCAAACTTTTAAAAATAAATATTACCACAGGATCTTATGTATCTACATTTGAACTATAATGAATAAATAAATAGCCCCAGTGACAATTACCTAAATTTTATATTTAGAAGGGAAAGAACACGTGCAACAAACAATAGCACACTGTGATATTAATGAAGCACTTGCTTCCTCTAAATGTAGAAATTCAGCAATTATCACTAGAATTGGCATGTATAAAGGTGCTGGTGACAATTTTAAAAAGGCATATTGCTTATCTGATAGACCAGAATGCATGCTTTGGACCCGAAGCATTCTGTTACAAAGTGTTCAGTGACACAGTCCCACACGCAGCCAAGCTTATGCTCAACTCAGCGATGGCTGTGGTGGAAAGAAAGAGGTGATTGCAAGTCTTCCTTCTGCTTGCCCCAACTTTGTGTTGGCTGGAGGCCAAGCCAGCCATCAGCACAAATTAGAGTTGCTATAAAGATGTTCTACTTTACACCAGCTAGTTTGGACCCCTGAGGAGTACAGCACTCAGACATCAGAGTTCGTATTGAACTTCGGACCTTTCCCATCAAACCTCTGTCAGGCTCCTTCCCTGCTAAAAGGTAGCTGCTTTATGCTCTCAAGATTTTTGCCCTGTGCTTTTAGAGCACGTCAGGAAAACTGACAGAGCTGACCACACCAAGCTGAAAGGTCTCTGAGTCACAGGAGTCTTCAGTTGCCCTCTAAAGCTTTAAGGTCACTGCAGTGTAACCAAAGATGTGGCGTGGAGATCTTGCCAAAGAAATGCCTTCTGGAAGCTTTTCTCTCAAAAAAGCTAACTCTACCTGAATCTCTTGTCCCAAGCAAACACAGAGCTAACACGCTTTGCTCCCTCTTGAGCCTACGTATGCATCCTTAACCCTCTCCACCCCGATTTCCTGGGTGAAAAATACTGCTCTCCCATTTTTCATTAGGCTTCTCAGTGCAGACCGTTACCTTGTGACCCTATTATAATTCACTTGCAGAAAAAAAACAAAGTTAGCATGATGTGGGAAGGTGATAATTTACCACCTGGCTGAGTACAAGGTCTCAGCTTTAGCTTTCCACCCTATTATATACCAAGTAAAGCTAGTCACAGGATGAAGAATTTAGGCAGCAGATGAAATCTTCTTTAAATCTCTGAGCAGTAAAGGCTTCATATTCAACTCTCTGCTTCCCAGTACACTTGTATAGAAAACACTGTTGAACACTGCTGAACTGCTAGGCCAAATTTCTTTTAAGTGACCAAACTGGAAAAGGATCTTGTGGCACATAGCACTTCACCCCAGCAATATCTTCAAGTGGCCAGAAAGCTCTCTTTGTATTTTGGAATTTGGCACAAAATATACAAGGAAATTAATTACTGAAGCAATCAGAATATGTTTGTTCTGCAATACAGACATAATTGCTTGTTCCACTTCTACAAATGCTCCCAGGAAGGAGGACACCTGCCCCATAAATCCACGTGTCCTGTACACACATATTGGTGCAGTGGCAGGGACAAACAGTCCTCCTGTGATTAGTAATCAGTCATGTACTCCTTGTACTCATAAAGTTCATTTATTTTTGCCTGGGGAAGAATCAACAAAATTGGTTCAGAAGGCTCTTTGTTGATAGGTAGTTGACAACTGTCATACACCATCAGCAAGAAAAACTGCAGCATAATTGAAAGTTTGCATTATTGATCCTACAAAAGAATTAGGGAAAAAAAGACAACACAACACACAAGGAAAAATTCGTGTAGCCGTAAAAAAAAAAAAAAAAAAAAAAAAGTGACTAGAATGACTCCTGCATGTGCTTACCTTCCCCAAGAGGTAACACTGCTAAAGGTTATGGTGTGCAGAAAGCCCTCAATACAGTGGCATCATGACCAGTTTTCTAGGTGGAGTAATTGCACTTTTTCCACATAAATTTTCAGAGACAGTTCAGAGATAATAGTATGTTGGAGTAAGTCCACATCACCAAGACTTCAGACATCACTAATGTCTTTGTTCAGACATCACTAATGTCTTTGTGGGGACAAACTGCTCACATTATTTGGTCCTGTAGAATAGGCACTCTCTGGCTTGCAAGATTATTAAAAGAACCAGATGCTCTCAGCAATTGTACTGCCTCTGAGATCCCCACCATTATCATATGGTGCCCCTTGCCATTAAGGACCAGGCTGTTAGAAATAATTGCCATGAGCACAGGAGACATGCAACCTCTATCACCTAACCTCATGATGAACTTTCTACTGCAAAAGTAGTTAAAGCATAGAAACAGTGGCCAGAGAGCTGTTATCATGGCAGCCAAAAATTAACCACTCCTCTCCCACTATGACAAGTCTATCCATCTTCTAAATGAAATAGGGGGCTTCTTGTTCCAACAGTTTGTTGAACCCCTAAAAAAATAAATACATGCCATCCCAGCCAAATAACTTAATAAGAAAAGAAATTGCTGTGTCACAGAAAAGCAGACTTCAACTACATCTTCCTGTTTTCTGCAATAATGACAAAATTTTCACTGCATGGACTTTTATCCCTGCTCTGCATGCCATTTGATGCAATACTGAATCTGCATACGGACTGCAAAGCAGAAATATGATCTAACCACTTGTCTCAACTCTTCTCAAGATGCTCTTTGCTCACTCATGCTCTTGTTGTGTTTTCCTCTCGGCAGCCGGATGACTGTGTACAAAAACATGCAGTTATAAATGAACACACCAAATGGTTCTCAACACTGAGCAGAACAATCAGGCGGTGGAATGCACTGGGAAATTCCCCATTCTGCGCCTTTTGTTCCAGGCCTGCTAATGCGTTTTCCATGAGAATTTCTTCTGCAATGGAAAAAAATAAACATCTCTCCAAATGTTAGGCAAACAACTTATTTATTATTAGAAGGAAAGGCAGAAAGGGGAATCTAGCAGAGCTTTAAACAAGAATTTACTATGCGAGCTGAATATTTTTAAAATGCAAAATTATATTTCAAGAGTCATTTAGTAAAAATTGTGGCTCCAAGTCCTTACAATCCAACTCTTCTGAGATGTCATTAAGATTGGCTGCCCAGTGATCTTGGTCAATGGTATGTACTTGCACAAGGATGCAGAATCAAGTCCTTATTGCACCATCTTAGTGATTCTTCTCATGACAAGACCTAATTCCTATAAAGATGGAGACAAACAGTAGAAGATACATAACAATATGAAACGTGGTAGGCTAAATTTACCATTCTATCAGGCATCAATACACTGGTGCTTTCCCATAAGAGATCATCCAGAAGGCATCTGGCTGCAGAACAAATTTCTGAAGCTCTCCAAGAATGGTCTGGGTTCAACTTTTGTCCAACATCCTACCTCTGAAAATGAAGCAAAGAACGTAAATAGTAAAAAAAAAAAAAAAAAGGGAAAAAACAAAAAGCAAAAAAAACCAAACACAATAAGAAATGATGAAGAAAGGGGAGTAATTATGTAAGTAGATTAGTGGTAAGGGATAAGTGTGATAAATGGAGAAGATGCAGGTTATAAAAAAGGGATGGTAAAGTAAAAGAGTTGTTGTGGGAAATTCTGCTGCTAAAGAGCTACAGCTCCAGGTGTTTTTCAAAATATCCCTCTGGTAACAAATGATCTATGACATTTGTCTCCTAATCCTCTCAGCATGCCTAAGCAGCACCATAGTCTATTGATTGAAATTCTGCAGCATTGACCATAATCACAATACCAACCTCCTGCTACCTTCAACAGCCGTAGCCCACGAAAATAAAATCCCCACATACGTCATATACAGGAGGATTAAATTTCAAGCAGCAGTAGCTCTATAAACATGCTATGTGTTTACACGTAGCTTTCAAACAAAAATCTTTGCTGCAAGAAGTACATAGCTAAGGGCTGCATAACATCTTTTAGCCTTTCTTTAGAATTTCTGAAGTAGATTTTTCTTCTGGCTATTTTCCTAAGGCATAATCTGTTTTTAGGCTATGCAAATAAAAACAGTTTTGCTTTTTTGTTCAGGGGAAGCAGGGCTTGTGGTGGCTGAAAGGGCAGTTGAGGTGAGAATGATTGGGCCCCGTCTCTTCTGTGGTGGCATTGTGGTTTTGCTGCAGGGACCATCCAAATGAAAGAATTGTGTGTCTTAATAAATACAGACCTGTGTAATGCTCTCTGTGAACATGTGTACTGGCCTTATGAATGTGAATAAAAGGGATGTACATTGCCCATAATTGATTTTCTTGTGCAGTTGTCTGCACTCCCCTGTACCTCAACCACACACCCTTCTGTAGCAATCTTGTGTTGTGCAACTGTTTATCATGAGGATTCAGCAAACATATACACAGCTGAATTCTTGTACAGAACTTGATTTATGGTCATAGAATTCATTTTTAATGAGCCCTTTCCCAAAATATCAACAGTGTGTTTTGATTTCCAAGAGCAGTTTAATAGTGAGGGGAAAAAAAACACGCACATACACACAAAACCCACCCTTCTTGCTCCTTGACTTAGGAATGCCACAAAGGCTACATTTTCTTCCAGCTTTAAATGGCACAGTAGATAGCATTACTCTGCCATAGGAAGACTACCTGCACGTGTAGCACAGCTTCAGCCTCAGAAGTCTTCATCTCCCTAGCTGCAGGGCAGACACGGAGGTAGGTATTCAGGAGAGAGGTACAGTTCAGAAGACAGTGCTTAGTATCTGAGAGCTGCCTTGAAGGATCAGTAACCTGACAAGGACTGCAGACACTTTTTACTCTCAAATCACAAGGTCACAAAAATTACACCCTATATTTTAAATCAAATAATGTAGAAAATGCTGAACAGCATGTCTTCTTTTCCACCTTCCAACATTTATGGTCATACATACATAGAGAGTGCCTTGAGGTCCAATAATCTCACTAATGCTTGACATTATGTGAGCATAAGAGGCTGCTTTCTCTTCAGGGAACCAAAATATAGATGAATAATAAAGATGGTTAGAGTTTTCTCTATCACAGCTAGCTTGTCCAGAGGCAAAAGAAAATCTTGTCTTACATTTTTCATTCAAAATATGTGTAATATTGCTGCGCTTTAGCTGAAAACTGGGTTGGGAAAAAGTGATTCCTCTGGTTGCATGATCAATGCGTTATGTAAAACACAGTTTGGTTATATCATCTCTGAGACTAACAACAAAATAGCTCATATTTTTTAATGGCTGACTTCAAAAAGGGAGATACCTCTCCCTCCCATCTGAGACCTAGTTTCTTTCAATAATTATATTTTTTCTAAGCCTCGAATGTCCTGACAGATTGCTGCAGCCCCAGAATAATCCATGCTATTGGAGACCCCACATTGAAGAAGGACTAAGAAGTGCCCACCACATCACAGTTATGAATGCATCATGCCAATATAGGGCACATCAACTCCATGGGTCAGCAAAGACCCTTCCATCTGTTAGGACAGACTTACATGTCAAGCTCATGGTAAATACAGCTCATGTGCATCCACTAAGCAAAGGGAAGCCTGGCTTCCCTTACAACTTTCCTGCAACCATATGCATGTTAGCCTATTGCCCTTCTTTCAGCAAGGACCAAATTATCATTTCCTAATTAGACAAATCAGTAATTGTTGCATGCAGACCTTCCACTACAAGGCAAGAAAATCAAACTAGAAAAATGGCCTGGCAGAGGCTCCCATAAATACAGCTGCCAGTGACTTTTTCCTCTCAAGAATGTGTTTATAACTGCAATAGAGTGAAAATTCAGCAGAAGACTTGGCATTAACTATTACTTTGAATCTGGCTGTGTCACGTTCATGAAAAATGCATCCTCTCCGGCCACAAGACACAGAAACAAGTTCTACTGAATTAAAATCATCTCTAATTATCAATGATAAAGAAGTCAAAGGAAAAAACTCAAACTTTGCAACTGTAATTGGGTAATGAGTTATTGTTTCAAACGTCTTTAAAAGAAGAATTAAGTTGATTCTAGAAGGTCGGAAATCTTCTAGATACTTCATTATTTTAGTAGCTGAATTATTATCTAACAATTGCAGACCAGCACTGTACCACAAGTTATTATCAAAGGATCCATAGGTACAAAGTGGATGCTTTTCATTTATGGGAGAAATAATATGCTATTTTTCTGCCTCTTTCTTAGGGCATGACATATAATACAAGCGTCTGCAAAAGCAAGGTTCATACACAAAAGCAGAAAGGGTCTGGAAAAATTGTACCCTTCTTTATAAATTTTTAACTGGCTGACTAGAGAAGGCTGTACTGGAGAGGGGAAGGCTGTGGGGCGATCTCATTGCAGCCTTCCAGTACCTAAAGGGAGCCTATAAACAGGAGGGGAGTCAATTCTTTACAAGGGTAGATAATGACAGAACAAGGAGAACAAGGGGAAAGGATTTTAAGTTGGAGGAGAGAGGATTTAGGTTGTATATCAGGGGAAATTTCTTTATAGAGAGAGTGGTAAGGTGCTAGCACAGGCTTCCCAGAGAGTCTGTGGATGCTTTGTTGCTGGAGATGTTCAAGGCCAGGTTGGATGAGGCCCTGGGCAGCCTGGTCTACCAGTGTGGAAGTTGGTGGCCCTGTCTTTGTCAGAGGAATTGGAGCTTGATGATCCTTGAGGTTCCTTCCAATCCGGGCCATTCTATGGTATGATTATATGATTATGATTCTATGATAACTATTTTTGAAGAAATCCTGAATTAAAGACAAGAGTGAACTGCAGTTTCTATCTATCCCTGCTCCTATCATCTTTCTTGTTTATTTTCCATGCTTTCTCTTGTCTTCTGACTTTGAATTCTCTTTTCTTTTTCTTTTCTATCTTGTTATTTTCTTTCTTGTTTTGATAGCTGCCACACCAATTCACTTGTTGAGATTGTGACATTTAATGCAGGAATTGAAGAGTTTTTTGAATACCTGGGTTCTTTTCTGATGCACAGGAGTTTTGTATTCGTTTGATATGTTGGCACCTAGAATGTTTGTTATGAAATAAATTGCAAATGTTTAATAAATAATATAGTTTAAAAACATTTTACCATGGAAAAATATTTGTGAACTATTTCGGTATGAGTATCTTAAGGAGAAACAAACAGACGAAGTATTTTCATTCATTATGTAAAGCTGGAGTTTTGATCCTCGAAAGCAAAATTTGCTTTGTAATCCGTTAGACCCAGAAATCCAATGAAAAGAGGTAAGGGGATTGTGTCTTAGTGTGACAAGGAGTGAAGCAAGGAGCTTCTTCTCTCTGCAGTCACTTACAAGCTAGAGCTTCTGATCATCTCATCATGGCCTGCAGCATTTGCTTTGGTTTCTCACCTCTTAAAACTACTACCTCCAAATCTGTTAACTTCATCCAATCTTGAGGAGCTCTGTCCAGAACACCAGAGACTTCTCACTCAGTGTCCAAAAACTCATTGTTGAGCTGCCACTGTTTCATCCTCAGACTAAACCAAAGCACAGTCTTTGATCTGTAAAGACAGTATGAGACAAATGCAAAATTAATTCAACGTTGTGCTGACCAAGTAGTTGTGAATGAGGAAAAGTAAAAACAAAACAAGAACAAAGAGTTTATTCAGTTTACTGTCTCTGTGAGTAGGGATTAATGATAACACTCAGATGAAGCTCCAGAGGCACCATGAAATGTGGTTTTCAGAGAAAGTTTTCATTAAAATAAGGATGTTACACCAGCAACCTCTTGGGTGCTTTTGAGTCAGCTGTTTTTGTCAAAGGCCCTATTTTGGTTTCATTCAGGAAAGTCAAAATGTTACATGTGAAATGAGAAGTGATTACAACACCCAGAAACCCCATAAGCTATTTATTTTTAAAGAGACTTTACAATGTAAAGTGCCAGGCTACTCTTGAGAGTGGGAGCATGCTGCCTAGATTCTGGTTCTCAGATGTGCTTAAAGAAGCAAACAGACACAAAGGTCTGCCTGTCAGTGCTTCAGAGCCTCCTTCCAAAATTACACACATCTACATCATGACACTCACACAGCGATACAATTACAGATTTGTGAAAATGACATCTGACATTTGTGGACTGAAATATTGGCCTTCACCTGTGATTTGCCTCAGTTTTTTGCAATGGGAAAAAAAATATAAATATATATATATATATTCTTTATATATTTTATATATTCTTTATATATATATATATATATATAATATATATATTATTTATATATAATATATATTCTGGACATGGTACTACTTTAAAAGGAAATCATTAAACAAAAAGCCTTGATACATTTGAAACGTACACAACAAAATCAATTTATCTGTTCTGATGTTTCTGAATGATTCCAAGCTTTGTCCTTCATACAGCCTTTCACCTCTTTGCTATCTGCTTTTTAGATATAAAATAGTAATAATAGCAGTCCAGCACCTGTACTGACAAGAAGATCAAGATTTTTCTTTTTTCTTTCCCCAGGAAACTGTTTCTCCATGAGCTCTCTCCTGCTTAGGTGACAGCAAAAATGAAACATCTAACGGGTTTACTCCTAAATCCCAGTTAAACCCACAAGGTCCCTGGATCTGCACAATTAATACTGGAGAAACATCGCAGTCCTGACACTGAAATGGCTCTGCCCATTCTGTTTTGAGACACAATTACAATGATGTCTGGAATGGAAATCGTCAAAATCAACCTCTGCAAGTGGATAAAGTGTATTGTTTCTGTAGCTCTCAAGGAAGTACTGTCAAAATAACTATGATGTCATTCACTTACAGCCAGAAACTATAGTAATCTGGGATCTGTTATACACCACTTTGATGCATTCCAGCCATTTGCAGAATCACAGTCACAGAATAGTTCCTACTGATAGACAACTGTTCCAACTCCAGGCCCATATCCAGGCAGCTTTTGGAGATCTCCAAGGAGAAGACTCCACAGCCTCTGGGTCTCTATGCCAGTGCTCTATCACCGAAACAGCCCAGAAGTGCTGCATGATGGCCAGAGGTAACTCCAGGTGGTGCTCACTGACTATTGTCCTGGCACTGGGCACTACTGAAAAGATCTTAGCTCTGTCTACTCTGCACCCTTCATTCAGGGATCTGTGGACATAGATGAGATCCTCCTGAGCCTCTTCTCCAGTCTTAGCTGTCCCCGCTTTCTCAACCTCTCCTGACAGGAGAGCTGCTCCAGCCTCTGTAGCATCTTGGTGGCCTTCTGTGGAAGTCCATGCAGTATGTCCAGGTCTTTCTTGTACTGTGGGGCAGAACTGGTCCCAGCACTCCAGGTATGGCCTCACCAATGCTGAAGGAAAGGATCATTTCCCTCATTTCGCTGGAGATACTTTGTAAAGTGCAGAAACCCAGAATATAGTTAAGCTTCTCAGCAACAAGGGCACTCTGCTGGTTCATGTTTAACTTGCCATGCTCACCAGGCCCTTCATGTCCCACTGTCTGGGGCTGGTCTTCTCTCCTTGTTATGAGGTTCCTGTCAGACACAGCCCCCCTATCTGTCCTGGTCCCTCTGAATGGCAGAATAGCCCTCTGGTAAGACTGCTATTGCCCCTAGCTGTGTGTCATCAGTGAATTTACTTCAAGTGCAATCTATCATTGTCCACATTGGCAAGAAAGATGTTACGCAGCAGTGAACCTAGTCTTGGCTGCTGGCTCTTCAAATACTTTTTGTACCACTGACCTGCACACCTGACAGTGTCCTGGCTAAGGACATTCAGACAGTTTTCAGCTCACTTCACTATTTGTTCATCCATGCCATACACTGAGACCTTCTCTATGAGGATATTGCAGGGGACAGTGTCAAAGGCCTTTCTGAAGTCCAGGAAGATCAGGCAGTCCAGTCAATGCTTTTGTTTCTCCATTTTTCTCCTCACAGTAGTCAAGGGAGAAGGAGAGTATTGAATGAAGAGATTTATCTTAAAAGTCATTTGACCAAAAAGCTTTGAGTTATCTCAATATGTAATACAAAATTTTAGGAACCTTGTTTTACTTTGACATTTTCCAATAGCCAGGAATTGTTTTATGAAAAAAAAAAAAAGTGATACTATACAAAACTGAACCAAAAGTAAAAATTGCAACGTACCTTCCTCTCATATTCTCACTTATCAGTTATGTTTGTAGTTTTCACTATTTGGAATTTAAATGGAGATGAACTGAGAAATGGGAAATAACATTTAGTTTTCAGTATGAAATATAACCTGTTTATTAACAACAGGCAATCTTTCATCTTTGGGATTTGAGATCTGCACAGATTGTGCTGCCACCTCCCAGCAAAATATGAGTTCATGGGAATGACCAATACTAATGATCCCTGAACTGTTTCCCACAGCAAAATGACAGCTGTGATTCTTAACCCCAGCTCTCCTCCTTAGAGCTGACTCAGCAGTAAATTTACAGCACTTCCTCTTCAGTGTCCCATGCTGGCCTTGGACATTTATCACCCAACCTTATCATTGAAAGATGTGTTTTCCCCACAGTTCACAGCCAAGTACCTTCTTCATGAGACAGTGGGTAGCAGGGAAGGCAGGTCTGGGTGTATTTGGGGAGATGGCTGAAGCCTTTATCTTGTTATCATCTTTCTGAAATGGAGGATGAGTAATGGTGGAACTTTGTGTAAAGCATGGGGAAAATGTCTGAAAACATGGGCTTAGAGAAGCGTTGAGAATTTTTGAGCGTGGTTACATGTAAATAAAAGAAATGACATCTTGAACCTACTTCAGGTTCGAAAGCTTTATGCTGCTCATCTCACAGTTCATGGGAAATATTTATGTCCAAGAGCATGCATTGCCCTAGGACCAGTAAAATGCTGTAAAGGTTAATAAGGAGTTACTTAGAAGACATTACCCAAATCTATGGCAGTTAACAAACAAATAACAAGTCCATAACTGATATAATGTTTTCTATCACAGTGTTCTGAAGAAAATACCATTAATACCTTCTCTGTCTCAGCCTTTCCACCTTTAGAGGTGGAAATCCTGTCCAGAAATGGATTTCATTAAGCCCTAACAAAGATTTTATTCTGATTGTGTTCTCTCAAAAATATCTGGTGGATTGGCTAGTACAGGTTTTTAAACTGGTGTGAGAGTAAGGCACTAACAGCAGAAATTTCTTCCAGGTTCAGACGTGGATTTCAAAGCTCTTCTTTTTCATTCTCCATCGCAGCTTTTTCAGGCAGAATTTTATTTTTAAACGAGGGCAGAACCCAGTGTCTTTAACTTCATAACTTCTTGTTCAGAAACTCTAGCAGTGTGTGATAGTCTGGTTAAGAACTGTTTATCCTGCAGCCATGCCAGCAAAGCAATGCACCCTTGATCTTTCCATATGAGCTGTTACACATAGAGCAGGTTTCACAGCAGGTTCCATGGCACAAAAGACATCACGTTGCAGAAATAATGCTCCAAACAGCCAGACACATTCTCACTTCTACAAATGTCTGAGCAAACATCCGCATCTGGTAGTCTGTTATTCTTTTTTTTGTTGTTTTTTTTTGTTGTTGTTGTTGTTTTTGTTTTGTTTTGTTTTGCTTTTTGTTTTGTTTGTTTGTTAATTTTTATTTCTTGTTTTGTTTCAAATCAAGTAAAATCCTAAGAATTACCTTTTGAACCTTTCCACCTCCAGACCAAACAAAGGTGATGCTGCTTTGGATTTAATTCATTGAATTAAAAAATGAAATGATTAAATGGTCACTGAATTAGATGCACAGATTCAGCAAGTTTTGCACAAATTACTCCTGAAATGCAACCCTTTTTCTCACAGTGGAAGAATCCGAGGATGAACTTCTCAAAATAAGGCTATTGAAAAATCAACATGATTTTCAACATTCTGTGGGCTACATTTTCAAACACCATTTTGAATTGTACTGAGTAAAACACTTTTACTTGGTTTTTAAATATCACTAAAATTCACATTTAAAGTGTAGTTACTCTCTCTAAGCAATCAAAAATTAGAAAAGTAAATCCTGAGCAAACATTTCAGATTTTTGCATCTCACTCTGGGAAGACAAATTTTAAAATTGCAAGTAGTGGATAAATAGAAACGTTCTAAAATGCAAATTAATTGTTACCAGTGATATAAGGCTAAGCCAGCAAAGAACTCTCATTAAGAATCTTAATGGAGGCCATAGATTTAATTATCGAGGGCAGTTGCACAACTTGTTCTGACCTTCTCAAAACATTTTTGGTTTGCACAGATGGGCCACAGAACTGTCTCTTTCTTCTGTCTTTTCCATTTTCTGGAACAGGCAAATTATTGAAATACATAAGTATTTTGCTCAGCAAAACTCTCACCCTTGCTTGTCAGTCTTGAATGCAGCATGCTTTCTGCTGGCAATGGAGGTGGAAATAATTTTCAAGACCTCAAATTCCTTACGTTTTGTTCCTTTCTAATTATTATTCTGCAGTTGATGAAGAGAAATGCAGCCTTGCTCCTTGCTCATTTTCTACTCACAGCAGTAGATATCCTACACACTCAAAACATGTGCTCCATACACAGAGGATGTAGTACA